CTTTTACAGGTGTGTAGTGAGCGTGGTAATATACTGTACTCACTAATTCATAATCATGATTTCGCCTCTCACTAAGAAAATATTTATTTTCCAACTGGTATTATAACATCGATCTAGCTGACATTAGAGAAGTCATGCGTTTTGGTCTTCCAAGACTGTTATTAAACGTGCGATTTTTTTTTTCTTCATAAATCACGTTGAATGGTACTCATAAGTTTTAGTAAAAATACAGTAGTAATATTTTTAACACTATACTCATTACGCTTTCGCCACGATAACGATAAGTGAGAACTTAGTATAAACATATGGAGTATATTTTTTGAAAATCTTCAATATATACCTGCACAAAGCTACATTTAATTTGTTCCTAATTAATTTTGGGAAGGAAATTTCCTCCATTTGCTCTTGATAATCAATAGTTCCTTGCAAGTTTCAATTACATACATGATTATCTTGTTCATGCTTTCTACCAACTTTAGAGCAGATCGAATTTCATGAACCAAATACGAATCTTCTTATAAACACATATACAATTCAACAACAAAAATACAAAACATAGCCACTAAAAACAAAAACAAAGAGAATGAAAGACATCTTATTTTTTCTTTCATTTTAATTTCTGAGGTTCTTGTAATTAGGGTTTCTTTTGGGGTTTTGTGGGATCGAGGAAATTTCGTGGAAATTACGTTAGAACAGATTTGCAGTCCCTACAAATTACTGGACATAGACGATCACATGTCATTTTCTGCATGAAGTTGTTTGGATTTGAAGCTTATAACGGCCATAATTTTTCATACTTATCTTAGAACTATAAATTACATATGATGCATCTTTATTGCTCCTTCGGTCTTAATTTATGTGGTTTTTAAGTAGGAACGGAGTATTAAAATAAAGACATTTAAAATTTATGGTCTAAAACAAATCATAATTGTTTTTGCTATGGCTATAACTATCATATTCAAGGTAAAATGAGAATTTCGAAGTTCAATTGTTATTAAATATAAAAAAAAAATATCATTGTTTTTGTAACTAACTGAAAAAAGGAAAAAGTATTGCATAATTGAGGTAGTTTATTACGAGGCTGGCCGGGAGAAAAATAAACAACAATAACAACAACAACAACAATAACATACTCAGTATTATCCCATACCGTGGGGTTTGGGGAGGGTAGTGTGTACGCATACCTTACCCCTACCTTGTGAGGATAGAGAGGCTGTTTCCAATAGACCCTCGGCTTAGGAAAGCATAAGCACCACATTAATGAAAAATATAGACAAGAAGGGAAAATCATATAAAAGCTTTATAAAAACAACAAGATAGTAAGGTTTTTATTGGAAAAAGAAAAACAGAAGTAAATCATCTTTCGTGTTTTTATTGTCAAATCATTATTAGAACATTCCTTCCAAATAGTAATAAAATAAAATAGGCCGTCAATTATAATTATTAAATAATGTGAGGGTAGTTTAGTCTTTGTATCTAAAAGTTATTATTAGCCGTTAATAGTTGTTAGGGAGTTAGTTAATTAGTTAAGATTACGCAATTAAGAGTAGTGTATAAATATATGTACTTAGCCTCCAATAGTTAGGACACTATACAAAATTTTAGCTCTCTTCGTCTCTCTCTCTCTCTCTCTCTCTCTCAATGACTATGTCTTCTTCTTCCTAAAATCTTCTCTGTAAACACTCTGTAAATCACGACATGGTATCAGAGCTACTAAGCTTAGAAAGCTAGCTTACTTCTCGATCCGAATTACAGATTCTACTTCTTTCTTTGTTCATTTCCGTTTTCTATCAACAACTACAATTGCCAAATCCGTGAAATATTGAATCAATAAGAAAATGACGATTTCTGATGAACAATTGGGGCAAACTCCAGGAATTCAAATCACTGGAGACCAAGTGAATCAAAATATTGGAAATCAAGCATTATTGACTATAATCATCCACTCTTCTTATCCCATGCTGATGTAAGTGGTATTCAAATCATTTCGTTTCAATTGACTGGAATTGACAACTATTCCATCTGGTTTAGGTCTATGCGAGTGGCTTTTCTAGGAAGAAATAAGTTGGGTATGGTTGATGGTACATGTAAGAAGGAGAAATTCCCATAGTCAATGTGGAATCATTGGGAAGAGTCAATGCAATTGTGCTATCTTGGATTATGAACTCAGTGGCAAAAGGACTTCTTGGAGGAATTATGTATGCATCGAGTGCTCAGGTAGTTTGGGAAAATCTTTCACAGAGATTCAACAAGGCTGATGGATCAAGAACCTATAATTTGCATAAGGAAATAGCAACTATGTCACAAGGAACATCTTCTTGTATCAGTTTACTTCTCGAGGCTGAAGGACTTATGGGAAGAATTTGAGACTTTAGTGCCTGCACTTGGTTGTGATTGTCCAAAATCAAGAGAATTTATGGTGTACTTGCAGAAGTTGAAGTTATACCAATTCTTGATGGGCTTAAACGATTCATACTCTCAAGCTAGAAGCTAAATTTTGATTGGAAGTCTCATTCCCACAGTAAATCAGGCATATGCACTAATTGTAAGCGATGAGGGGCAGAAATCTGTTGCTGCAACCTCAGGAATCTTGGGCTCTAATCCTACAAGTCAAATGAAAAATTATGAAGTTGCTATGTACTCGAAAGCTGGAGGAAATCAGAATCATAACCAATGGTTCAGAAGAAATTACAATTTGTACTGTGAATTTTGCAAGATGAAGGGGTATAGCAAAAAAAAACTGATATAAGATTGTAGGATATCCTGCAGATTTCAAGAACATAAGAAGAGGAAATGTTTGCACAAATGCAGTATACAATGTTAATCTACTGCTAAAAATGATCACTCTACTTCTCAAGATCATCAGCAACTGCCTATGTTCAATTATGGACAAAATACTAATATGCAGGATCAAGTCAAAATTGGAGGTAGTTCTCAAAGTTCTAATCTGAACATAGAGAACTGAGGCCTTGGTAACTATGCTCTCACAAAAATACAGTATGGATAGATTCTTCAAATGTTGAACAAAACCAATGTGCCAAATTCCCTTTCAACAGCTAATGTGCCAGGTATTGATACAACTCTATTAGTTTCTAATTGTCTTAGTCAGTGGATTATAGATACATGAGCAACAAACCATATGGTGTCTGACAAAAAATTATTGGATAAGGGAACAGTACTGAAACAAGCAATCCAAAGAAAGTATTATTACCAAATGGTGATATTACAATTGTTACTCATATAGGATCAAGTTCTATATTAGATAATAATACAATAACCAAAGAGTTGCAATGCTCAGCAACATTCTTCTCTGATTTTTGTGTATTTTAGGAGCTCTTAACTGGGAAGGTGAAGGGGATTCGTAAAGAGGATGGCGGCCTATACCTACTATATACTAACACAACTGAAAGGAACATAATGGTTTCTTTAACTACAAGGGGAAATGACACAACTGAAGCTGACAAATCAGATGTAATTCTCTGGCATAGAAGATGTGGTCATGTGTCTACACAGACTCTTAGGAAGTTACTACCTGTAGATATTGATACTATCAAGAATAGAATTAATAAGTGCACAGTATGTCTTTATGCCAAATAGGCTAGATTATCATTTCCTATAAGCAGTATTCAAAGTAGAATGTATTTTGATCTAATACATGTAGACTTGTGGGGGCCTTATAGAATTGCTACATTAGATAGAAACAAGTACTTTTTGACTATTGTAGATGATTTTTAAAGAATGACTTGGGTGTTTCTACTAAAGTAAAAGTCTGATGCATGTGTTTCAATTCAACATTTCTTCAATTATGTCAGAACTCAGTTTGATAAAACAGTAAAGGCAATTGAAACTGATAATGGTACAGAGTTTGTGAACTCTGTGTGTGAACAATTATTCAAAAACTTGAGAGTCATACATCAAAGAACCTGTGCATATACCCCTCACAAGAATAGGGTAGCTGAGAGAAAATACATGCACATATTAGAAGTCATAAGGGCTATCCGATTTTAAGCACAAATACCTATTAAGTTTTGGGGTCACTACATATTAGTTGTTGTCTACTCAATAAACAGAATGCCCATCTTAGTCATTAACAACATGTCTCCTTTTGAAAGATTATATAAAAGGAAGCCTTCTCTAATGCATCTTAGAATATTGAGTTGTCTATGCTTTGCTAAAACTATACAAGAGCATGACAAGCTAATGCCAAGAGAAACAATATCCATACATATGGGATACTAAGAAGTTCAAAAGGGGTATATCCTATATGATCCTTCAACAAGTCATTTTTCATAAGTAGAGATGTAGTATTTAGAGAAGATATATTTTCCTTTATCAAGAAAGAGTATAGCTCTCAACCAATATTTGTTGATACAACACCAGACTCAGGAATGCAACTAGATAATCCTATAATATTATTTGAGAATAGAACATGAGCTACAAACACTAATGAGGGTGACATCACTGGAAAAGGTGAAACAAACAATCAGCACAACACAGACGAAGGCTATACAGACATGCATACAGAACATACAAACGTGGATTTCTATACAGAACCTACATAACCTGATCATAATTCACAAGAAATACCACATACTACTATTGAGATACAGTATCAACCACCAACTGAAGTCAGGAAATCTTGCAGAGACAAACATCCTCCAGTCTGGATGAGAGATTTTGTGTCTCTCAATATTCATCAAAATGTACCTTATGCTCTAAACAAATATATCAGCTATGATCATCTCTTCTCTAAATATCAGTCCTATGTAGCTGCAACTTCATTAGTTACTGAACCAACTAACTACTTTGAAGCAATCCTAGATCCAAGATGGATACAAACAATTGATGAAGAGATAAGAGCACTTGAGAGCAATCATACCTGGGACATTGTAACACTACCAAAAGGCAAGAAACCTATAGGATGTAAGTGAATTTACAAAATCAAGTATAAAGCCTTAGATGAATTTGAAAGGTTCAAAGCTAAATTAATAGCCAAAGACTACAACCAAAAAAAGGGAATTGATTATCAAGAAACATTTTCACCAGTGGTGCAAATAATCACAGTAAGAACCATTCTTGCCTTAGCAGCTACAAGGAAGTGGCATATACATCAAATGGATGTATATAATGCCTTTCTTCAAGGTGACTTATTTGATGAAATTTACATGAAATTACCACAGGGATTTAAAAGTCAGGGGGAGAACACTGTGTGTAGATTTATTAAATCCCTGTATGGGCTCAAACAAGCCCCTAGACAATAGAATGCAAAACTGTGTGAAGCCTTGCTGAGATTCAACTTCAAACAAAGTCAGTATGATTATTCTCTATTCATCAGAAAAATATTTGAAGGTACTACTATAATTCTAGTATATGTAGATGATATGTTAATCATAGGTGACAGTCTGCAATTGATTGAGGAGACTAAAAACCTACTGCATAATGCATTCAAAATGAAAGATCTAGGGGAGCTAAAATACTTCTTAGGGATTGAGTTTGCCAAATGTAATCAAGGAATAACTATGCATAAAAGAAAATATGCTTTGGAACTAATCTCAGAAGTGGGCCTAGCTGCAGCCAAACCAGCACTAACCCCTATTGATGTTAACATCAAACTAACCTCTAAGCAGTATGATGACTACATTGGTAAGACAGAATGTTTAGAAGAATAAGACACATTGGTTGATCAAACTTTCTATCAAAGATTAATAGGAAAACTTCAATATTTAATTGTAACCAGGCCAGATATAGCATTTGGAGTTCAAACTCTTAGCCAATTCCTTCAACAGCCCAAAATCACACATATAAGCTGCTTTAAGGATAGTAAAATATGTTAAAGTCAGCCAGGGCAAGGGATTTTGCTATCAAGTATACCGAATAATACAATCATTGCCTTCTGTGATGCAGATTGGGATGCATGCCCTTTGACTAGAAAATCAGTTATAGGGTTCCTAGTTAAAGTTGGTGAATCCTTAGTCTCATAAAAGTCTAAGAAACAAACTACTGTATCTCGAAGCTCTGCGAAAGCTGAATTCAAAAGCTTAGCAACAACTGTAGCTGAACTCATTTAGTTGTATGGTTTACTAATAGAAGTTGATACACAGATTCAGTTACCTATCAATATTTACGGTGACAGCAAATCAACTATACAAATAGCTGCAAACCCAGTCTATCATGAAAGAACCAAGCACATTGAAATTGATTGTCACTTTGTGAGAGAAAGAATTCAACAGAGACTTGTCATCACCAAATATGTTGCAACAACAGATCAACCTGCTGCTATTCTTATAAAGGGATTAACCAAAGTGCAATATGAATATTTGAAATCCAAGCTAGGTGTGATCAATATTTTTTTACTACCTAACTTGAGGGGGAGTGTTAAATAATATGAGGGTAGTTTAGTCTTTGTATCTAAAAGTTGTTATTAGTCGTTAATAGTTGTTAGGGAGTTAGTTAATTAGTTAAGATTACACAATTAAGAGTAGTGTATAAATATATGTACTTAGCATTCACTAGTTAGGACAATATACATAAATATATGTATAAATATATCAGCTATGATCATCTCTTCTCTAAATATCAGTCCTATGTAGCTGCAACTTCATTAGTTACTGAACCAACTAACTACTTTGAAGCAATCCTAGATCCAAGATGGATACAAATAATTGATGAAGAGATAAGAGCACTTGAGAGCAATCATACCTGGGACATTGTAACACTACCAAAAGGCAAGAAACCTATAGGATGTAAGTGAATTTACAAAATCAAGTATAAAGCCTTAGATGAATTTGAAAGGTTCAAAGCTAAATTAATAGCCAAAGACTACAACCAAAAAAAGGGAATTGATTATCAAGAAACATTTTCACCAGTGGTGCAAATAATCACAGTAAGAACCATTCTTGCCTTAGCAGCTACAAGGAAGTGGCATATACATCAAATGGATGTATATAATGCCTTTCTTCAAGGTGACTTATTTGATGAAATTTACATGAAATTACCACAGGGATTTAAAAGTCAGGGGGAGAACACTGTGTGTAGATTTATTAAATCCCTGTATGGGCTCAAACAAGCCCCTAGACAATGGAATGCAAAACTGTGTGAAGCCTTGCTGAGATTCAACTTCAAACAAAGTCAGTATGATTATTCTCTATTCATCAGAAAAATATTTGAAGGTACTACCATAATTCTAGTATATGTAGATGATATGTTAATCACAGGTGACAGTCTGCAATTGATTGAGGAGACTAAAAACCTACTGCATAATGCATTCAAAATGAAAGATCTAGGGGAGCTAAAATACTTCTTAGGGATTGAGTTTGCCAAATGTAATCAAGGAATAACTATGCATAAAAGAAAATATGCTTTGGAACTAATCTCAGAAGTGGGCCTAGCTGCAGCCAAACCAGCACTAACCCCTATTGATGTTAACATCAAACTAACCTCTAAGCAGTATGATGACTACATTGGTAAGACAGAATGTTTAGAAGAATAAGACACATTGGTTGATCAAACTTTCTATCAAAGATTAATAGGAAAACTTCAATATTTAATTGTAACCAGGCCAGATATAGCATTTGGAGTTCAAACTCTTAGCCAATTCCTTCAACAGCCCAAAATCACACATATAAGCTGCTTTAAGGATAGTAAAATATGTTAAAGTTAGCCAGGGCAAGGGATTTTGCTATCAAGTATACCGAATAATACAATCATTGCCTTCTGTGATGCAGATTGGGATGCATGCCCTTTGACTAGAAAATTAGTTATAGGGTTCCTAGTTAAAGTTGGTGAATCCTTAGTCTCATAAAAGTCTAAGAAACAAACTACTGTATCTCGAAGCTCTGCGGAAGCTGAATTCAAAAGCTTAGCAACAACTGTAGCTGAACTCATTTAGTTGTATGGTTTACTAATAGAAGTTGATACATAGATTCAGTTACCTATCAATATTTACGGTGACAGCAAATCAACTATACAAATAGCTGCAAACCCAGTCTATCATGAAAGAACCAAGCACATTGAAATTGATTGTCACTTTATGAGAGAAAGAATTCAACAGAGACTTGTCATCACCAAATATGTTGCAACAACAGATCAACCTGCTGCTATTCTTATAAAGGGATTAACCAAAGTGCAACATGAATATTTGAAATCCAAGCTAGGTGTGATCAACATTTTTTCACCACCTAACTTGAGGGGGAGTGTTAAATAATATGAGGGTAGTTTAGTCTTTGTATCTAAAAGTTGTTATTAGTCGTTAATAGTTGTTAGGGAGTTAGTTAATTAGTTAAGATTACACAATTAAGAGTAGTGTATAAATATATGTACTTAGCATTCACTAGTTAGGACAATATACAGAATTTTAGCTCTCTTCCTCTCTCTCTCAATGACTATGTCTTCTTCTTCCTAAAATCTACTCTGTAAACACTCTGTAAATCACGACAATAATAATAGGGAATAATATAGTTATAGTGTCTTCATGAAAGTCTTTAGAAAGTCATAGCATCTTCATGAAGGTCTCGAAGATTATCTTCTCTTTTGCCAAATATATATACATACACAATATTATATTTTTATAGTGTATGTGCCAAATATATGTACCTTGATATTTTTATATTTAACTAAAATATAATGAAGTCACTCGTGAAATGATTGATCGTGGAGTGTAACTGTCTTTACCGGTCGAAGCCAATAAAGGAAAATTCCCAGAACCAAGCTTTGGTAGGGCCCAAGGGAAGGCAGATGTGAAATAAGGATTTTAAGTTATATGGATTGATAATGTAAAAACTATTTATAATATTTTTATCATTTAACTGTCATAGCAAGTTAGGAGTACTAATTAAGTGTTATTATTAAGTTTTCAATTAAAGTTTAGTTTTTATATATTGATAATGCAAAAACATTATGTAAGTGGGAAATGACCTAAAAGATAACTGCATGTAACCATCCAAATATATGAGAATAGTAATTTGAAAAACAAGACGAGTAACCTACGGATTAAAATAAAATTATACTAAAAGTCTGGGCTATCTGCGTACATAAATTAATCGAACCAATTGAAGGGTCTTCTAGGAGGCTATTATAATTTTGCAAAGAGTTCTAGTGTTTAGATCGCAAACTAATTAACTGTAGATCGGATGCAATCATTTTTAGTTAAAACACCACTATTAAATACCATAAAATTCGAAACCATCAATGAGTAGGAGTAGAAATATAAATTATAATCAATGTGTAATATTATACTCAACACTTACTATCGCCCACTAAAAAGAAAAATAAGAGATCGTAACATTCACCGCTGAAAATATATGATCAATGAAGCTTAGTAAGAAAAAAGGACAACTTGGAAAAAAAATTGAATTAATATTTAAACTTCTCGATCTTGTTCTTTAATTGGGGGTAAGCAAGAATTTTCAAATTTCACCGACTGTCATTTTCTTCTATTTTTTTTATTTAAAAGGGAAGGTGTAAAAAATATATCAATTGAAATTTTTGGATTTGGAAGCAGAAGAAAGAATGAAGGAGTCAAGTAATTAGACTACCAAACGTTGTGGCGGAGTGATAAGTACTTGATCATCATTAACTAACGCTTAGAATTTGAGCCTTGGGTCTGGAATCGCCTTTTATAAGACCTGCAAAGTGAAATTTCGCAGGTTCAAACCTGACTTAATCAGACTCCAAAGCCGATACCGTCATACTGACACTGATTAAAAAAAAAAACACAAGTAAAAGACATACCAAAGAGATCCCGGCCAGATAAAATATTGAAAACATCTGGTGCTCCAAGTTTCTGATTAGGATACGCAACATAAGTAAGGCTAGCAATCAATGTATATATATATATATATCATATATGCATGGAAATAAACAAGATCAACGTACTTGGGAGCTTAAAATGGTTGAAAAAATTGGCCATTTCGATACGATACAATATCATAGGTCATAGTTTTTGTGTTTGGAAATTTCTTTCCATCTTCTTTATTTTGACTTGTTTGGGGGGTGTCTTTAGGACGAGTACGCTGGGCATAGGAAAATTAATTAGAAAATAATCAGACCAACATACAAAAAATAGGGGAAATAGTTTTATAGATGGTTCTCTATAAAAGTTATTTTACTTAATAATCATATGAAAATTAATAAAAATAATCCATTAATAATAGGGTCATTTTGTTCTATTTAAATTGTAACTCGTCATATATAGAGGATCATTTTCTTCGAAAAGACACGCAAGATCATTATAGATCAGCCGGGCTTCGACAAAATAGTAGAGCAAGTATTTGGTAAAAATCCATTATGATACACTAGATCCAGCTCAGTTATTGATAGAACGAATAGATTTGTCATTTCTTGAAATCTCTTTTCTGATTCAAAATCGTAGTGTAATATGTATCCTCACCAATTTTTAACCCCGGAACTATGACTAAATAAGTCAATAAAGCATAAATTCAATTTCAAAAATACAAAAACGGTAAACTTCAGGATATGATTGGTTAAATAGAGAAGTGCTCGATCTATAGCTAATGATATATTATATTGAACTTTTAGTCGAAGTGATAAATAAGCTTAGATGACGTGATACACAGATTCAATGGAGTTTATCGAAATGGTTACGTAATTGATCAACAATATATTCTTGTTTTTTTCTTTCTTTCTATGTTTATGGTTTCTATTTTTAGAGATGCTGTATATATAGTTAGAGAAACTGTAGCTTTCAAGGTGGATTCTAGTATGAAATTTCAAGGAAGTTTCACTGGAAAGTACAAAATCCGTACAGCTTTTATTACGGCTCTAGGTGTTCCATTAGGTCAGAAGAGATCATGAGAAGTTGCAGCTGGGAAAGAAAAGAATAAAAATATATGTGGCTGTTAAATGAGATCATCTAGGTTTTAATTTGGACCATTCAACTGCATTATAAATTAGTCTACAACAATTTGTTTTTGTAACCATAGTGTCCGGACAACTAGTAAAGTTATTGTCATGCGATCGGAAAGCCACAATGGAAATAACCTCTTGCAGAAATACAGGGTAAGATTGTGTACAATTGACTCTTGTGGTCCGGTCCTTCTCTGGAACCCGTGCATAACAAAAGCTTAATATATCGGGTTGCCCTTTAGTATCCAGGCAACTTATGTTCATCTCAACTAATTTTACAGTATACTTGCTATCTTACACTAATATAAGTATTAGATAAATTTATCCACCAAAATTGGACACATAAAAAAAACAAAAAACCTAATATTTTTACCTCAACTAGAATTTGAATTGAGACAATTAATCTACAACATTCTTCTGTTGGATTCTTTAAACTTCTCTTTTATTTATTTATTTATTTGGTAAGCGAACTATAGGATGTATCAAAACTAAGTCTAAAAACGCCGAAACCCGGACAAGAAACGTCATATTCTTGCAATTAAGATGGAAAAACTCTACTCTACTTCATGTCTATATCAAATTAATTAAAACACAACATGTGTCATGTATATAAACTTCTATATGTTAATTAAGTAATATGTTTTCTCATATTAGTTTATATTTTAAAAGGGTCATTTGGTTCACGAGTTAATTCCCTAGATGGTCATTGAAGTAATAAAAATGATCAATCAAAGTCACTTGTTAGGTAGCAAAAAATATTTTTTAAAAGTTATATAATTTCGGCAAACATTATGAGAGACGAAATGTGTAAGAACGGGAAAGGTGGTAGGTCAGTGAGGGTAGGAGTAGGGGTGGTCAGGGGTGTGGTGGTGGTGCGGGGTAAGGGTAGGTTTGGGGGTGGAGGATGAGAGTGGGAAATAGAATGGGGAATGATGAAAAAAGAAAAATATTTATTCTCCTTTTTGATAGGAAAGCCATTTTCTTTCGATTAGAGGGAAATGCGTTTATAAACGTTTTGAAATCCAAACTTCAATTCGTTTCAAGAAATCTAGGTATTTTTGAAAAGAAAACTGGGCAGATGTCCGACCATTTTTGTCGGAAATCAGTCTGAATTCTCTGTAAAATTGAGCAGAATTTTGCTCAATTTTGAGCTACACCACATGTCAAACAATTATAATACAATAACGCCAACAACCAATCAACAAATATAACATCTAAACTAACAAATCCAACTATAACACTATCTAAACCAATAAATCCAACTATTAACACAATCTAAACCAACAAATCCATTAAACCTGACAATTTTGGGCATACAAACATCCAAATAGTAGCCCACATTCAAGTTTAAAAATAAAACATAAAGTTGTCTCTCACAATCAAGTTTACCAATCAACCAAAGTCATACACCTAAACTACTACAAATCAGATTCAGTTTGTTCATCCTCATCATCAGATAAATCATGCCCATGTTTTCTCATGCATTTCTGCATCTTAACAAATGTTCCGAGTTGTGAGTACAATTGTTTCTTCAAATCACGAATTTCTTTTCGCATATCTTCCATATGTTCTTGATTTTGAGAAGAAGAAGAAGAATTGGCTAAGAGTGGGTTTGGATGACCTGTAGGTCGACGTACTCCAAGTCCATATACCTTGCCTTTGTTTGAGCCTTAGCAATAAATTCAGCAACCCCTTTAATAAATTCATCCCTCAACCCCGCACGATTAGGATGATTCCTATTATACATCCATCTACGATACACAAATTTCATCTACACAAATAGAAATCTAGAAATGATATATTTAAAACAATTTGATTTATTTAAACTGGTTACAAAGTTATACTCTTTCAAAGGTTCCTTTTAGATATATACGTATCATTGTGTCAAAGCACTTTAATTGATATATTTTATTTTTTAAATTAATATTTTTTAACACTCGAAATCTCACATTAATCCCTATTCTAAATAATTTAAGTCTTTAACTATAATAATTAAATTTGAATAGCTTCTTAAATGTTCATATAATCCAAATTAACTAATGATTTCTCAAATTTATAAATTAATCTTAATGTTGAAATTGAAAAAAATTAAATTAAATATCATTCTAATAATAAAACTAACAAGCAACAATGAACCTAGTACAATAAGCTTTACACCAAAGCTTTAAACTATAACTATTAATCTAATTAAAATTAATATATTATAAAGTTAATATATCAATCCAATAAGGCATGTAGAACTTTTCATTTATTTCTAGATTAATAACCTACGATATTATATTGACAAATTCTTAACCTTTTTCAAATCAACCTCTTCTTGGTTGTAATAATGAAAAGCCTTGGTGCAGAAAAAACTCTGTCACGACCCAATTCTCCCTCCGTAAGATGTCGTGACGGCACCTAGTCTCTACGACTAGGTAAGCCTAACAAAAATGTAAAAATAATAAATGGAAGGAAAACTTAACAACTAACTGCAATAGATAACTGAATAATTGATAACAATACCGCTCGGCATGTACAATAACCAACACTCTAGTAATACACAGTATTCCCAAAACCCGAAACATCATAAGTCACAAGCTACAGAAGGAAACTAGTATCTCTATACACCAGAGTCTAATAAAAGAAGTACGGAAGGTAAATGATATAGGAGAGAATAGAAGGGGACTCCGAGGTCTGCGGACGCGACAGATATACCTTGAAGTTTTCATACAGTAGCAAGCACTCTCAGCTAATAGCGGGACTGATAAGAAGTACCTGAATCTGCACACAAAATATGTACAGAAGAGTAGCATGAGTACACCACAATGGTACCCAGTAAGTGCCAAGCCTAACCTCGGTCGACTAGTGACGAGGTCAGGTCAGGCCCACTTGTAATAAATATATAAGGCAGGAGAATATACAGTATAATAAGAGACTAGAATTTAACAAGAGGAAACACAACAAGGCAATAATACAACACACAAAGGTAAACAGCAGGGGATCTCCCGAGATACCGTCTTGTTGTCCCAAAATAAATATTTAGGGAGAACCCGAGGTACCGCCTCGTAGTCTCAAAAGTAAATATGTAGGGAGAACTCCCGAGAGACCATTCGTAGTCTCAAAAGTAAATGTGCAGGGAGAACTCCCGAGGTACCGCTTCGTAGTCTCAAAAGTAAATGTGTAGGGAGAACTCCCGAGAAACCACCTCGTAGTCTCAAAAGTAAATGTACAGGGAGAACTCCTGAGGAACCGTCTCGTAGTCTCAAAAGTAATGCACAACTCAAACTGATAAATACAACAATTAACAACAAGATTTCTACAGTTATACTGATAAAGAACAAGGAAAAACAGGAATCAACTAGGCATGCTTCACAGAGTACAAATAAGTAGTTAAAGCACGTAGACATGTGATATTAGACTAAACAGGATAAGTACACATATTGGAATAGCTCAATTAAGGATGAAAGACAGACTAATACTCATTTAAACGGTATAAAGGCTCGACTAAGTTTGTATGATATTTTAGGACTTGTTGGTATGTTTGGTTGGGGTCTCGAGGGGCATCGGGTGAGTTTTGGATGCTTAACGGATCGAATTTGAATTTCGAGCAGAGTTGGAAATTGTTTAAATTGATTAATTATGGGTATTATAACACATTTTGATTGGTTTGCACCTTGTTTGCATAGTTTTGGATCGACAAGCATCGGTTTGAGGTGTTAGAGTGGTGTTGGAGCCAGTTGTGGAGCTTCAGAGCGAGGTAAATCTCTTGTCTAATCTTGTAAGAGGGAATTTACCCCATAGGTAATTTAAATTAATAATTGTTGCAAATTGTAGGGGCTACGTACGCACTAGGTGACGAGAGTCTGTGCATAGCTACTTATTATGCAATGTCCGGGTAGTTTAGGATTCAAATCATGAGTTACTTATAATAATTGCATTCTTTATTAATTAAAGTATTTGAATTATATTGGAAAT